ATGCTCGTGACTTGAGACTCCACCTCATCGACGAGAACCTCAACTTCAAAGAGGTTCTGGGGTGGACCGAAACTTAGGAGCCATCGTCCGGCTCACGACGTGAAAGAAGCGCTTGTTGGGACGCAACCCAACCAGTCGGTTTGCATTTCTTTCTCTATTTCTCCTCGGTTGAGTCAGTTTTGTTATTTGATTTTAGAGTCAATAATTCAACCTTTGTGAGATTTTGTGTGGTGTTTGTGTTCTGATTACTCTCTCTTCCTGGAATGCACCACCTAAACCGTCCATCATCATTCACCCTTGATCTGGTAACTTCGTTCTACCCTCCTTATCTTTCCTCCATTAAGGACAATGTCGTGCTTAAGTGTGGGGGGATGTTCGATTATGTATGCGGGTGAATGTTTGACTGTTTGTGTGCTTGGAGCCTAGTCCACTGTCCCTGTTTGTGTGCTTGGAGCCTAGTCCACTGTCCAAAATTTTAAATTTGAGGGCTCCAAGTACGTGTTTCCTTGCAAATTACCTGCTCAGTATGCTTTGAATTGACAGTCTCTATAGTAATGTGCAACCTAGGGAGGTAGTGTAGCACTATGGAGGATGTTGAAGTATAAGATTTTTCCTATCTGGCTCTCTGCTGTGCTAGTTGATTTTGTGAATTAGTGGAGCTAAGACCGTTAAATTCATGTGGTAATGTGGACTCTGTTTAAATTGTGTTATGGACTCGTGTATTGAACAGGTGCTCATGTGAAAAATGAAATGCAGTTGGTCCTCCATGTCAAAATCATTAAATCTTAAACATGGGGTAAACCCAACGTGTGTGGCACCGTTCATTGCACAAAATCGGGTTTTGGAAGAGATTTTAGTGATCCTTAGTGGGGTACTCCTACAAGGTGAAGCTAAGCGGTCTCTAGTACAAGTAAAACTTCCACCCGTTGAACAGTTTGCCTACTTGAGGATGTGTTTTTAAGGGCACGGATAGAGCTTCCGACCCCCCTTAATTTCATTGACCCTCCACACGAGTTGAGGGAAAGGAGTTAAAAGAAGTACTCTAGTGAGCGCCAGATGTACAGAAATTGCTCTTGCTCGACTAATAAGGGTCGACCGTGCAAAAGACTGCAGTTGGAACCCCCGCCAAGTGAAGGAAAAGAAACAAAAAAAAAGTAAAATGAAAGTGAAAAAGGGGTTCCAACGGTGAAATGAAGTGAAAGAGCACCCTAGTACAACGAGTCCTTGGTTGTGAATGGTGTGAGTCCCTTTATCCATGAACTGACCGTCTTACTTCTACTTCTTCTCATGATCCTGGCTTGAGTCTAGTACTCGCATTGAGAAAGATAGGGGACGTCTTAGAAGACCAGTTGACCTCGTAAGTTGCTTTATGATCTAGAAAGTCCTCTACCGACGATCGGGGTTGTTTGTTGCTATAGAGGTCTGGAGAGTTGCATTGGTTTGAGTCAGGTTTGCTTGGGGACAAGCAAACAGTTAAGTGTGGGGGGATTTGATGACTCGATATTTGCACATGTTTTCCCCTTTATTTCTTGATCGTTTAAGCTTGCATTATCGCATCTTTGGCCTATTTTATACTAGGTTGTGTTCCTTTGTCACATTTCAGGACCTAGTACATAAAGTGAAGCATAGGCGCAAGTTTCAAGTCAATCAGAGATCAATTGGCGATTAGGGAGAAGAAACTCAGGCATGACCTGAAGAAGAATGGATTTCTGCCTCACTTTATGGACAAATAATCAGGCAAGCTTGTTATGAAAAGAAAGAGGATGAGACTACGAGCGTCTGGGTTCAAACGGCGACTGATTTGGAGTCCGGACGAGGGAGAAACAAAGCTTTGAACAGGAGAGGAGGAAGAATTACGGGCAGGAGAATTACGACCGTAATTTGGCCTCCCATGCCCGTAATTTCACTGCCGAGAGGAGCTTTGGGTGCGCTGAAACATAACCAAAACGCGTGTTTTGGGCAAATTACGGGCATGGAAGAATTACGACCGTAATTCAGCCCGTAATTCGCCCAGAATCGGGTTTTTGAGGCAGATTCGAGCCAAAGGAAAGGGAGAGCTGGGTTTTGGATCCCAAACACCCAAGGGACGAACCCTAGAGAGAGAGAGCGACTTGGGAACATTCTTAGAGCTATTTTGGAGGATTTCTTCGCCATTGGAGCTCGGGAATCAAGCTTGGAGATGGAGATTGAAGATCTAGATCAGATTTCTGCAGTCTCTCTCTTCTCTATGGAGTAACTTACCTTCACTTAGGTTTTGAGGAACCCTAGTTCCATGTGTTAGGATCTTTCTTGTATGAAGTTTTGAATGCTATATTGTTTGATTATGATCGATTGAGGCATGATTTATTGAGTCAATTGAATCTTGATCAAATTCTCTTGATGTCTGCTTTAACCTATGATAGATAGAATCTGATTAGGTTAAGAGAGCTTCCTTGATTGATAGTGGTGAATTGGTTGTGCGAGAGTCAATCAATTCACTGCTTTGTACTGGAATTCATTCCAGTAGTGGAGTTCTGTGTTCATAGCCTCAGCTTTCTATCCTGGTGAAGACTAGTCGTCTGCCGGGTAGTTGGACTGAGAGGGCTTGGTCAGCTTAAGAGATTTTAAGCTACTTTAGGATCTTCCGCAGTTTAATCAACAGTAGATCAACCAAAGGTAATTGCAACTTGGACCTAATTGAGGAGCTAGGGGGAATCATACCTAAGTGAGTTCCCAAACTGTAATTAGTAGTTTTACTTAGTTTAGTTAGTAGAGTAGTTTAGTTAATCAATCCTCAATCTAGTTTGCTAGATAATGAACTGAAGCTGAGTAATAGTAACTCTAGAGACCCGTGGATTCGATATTTATTACTTGCGCCACTATACTGCAGTCCCTTTCATTGGTTACACTTGGCCATTGTTAGGTGTTGTGTTTTAGCGTGTCAGATTCTCTGAGGAACATATAAGAATCATCCACAAAGAAGAGATGTGAAACCCACAGGGATCTAGGACTAACCCGGACTCGAGCTCATCCGAAAAGAAGAGTCGCATTCATCTCCTCAGTGACTGCCCGAGCAATCGGTAAATCTGCCACTCGTCAACAAAGATATCTGCCTTCCCCTTCTCATCGTTGACCCATTCATCAGCCCCATTACGCAGCCCAGACACAAAGTTTCTTTTTCTCATTGCCCTTGTGACTGTATGAAAATAGGAAGTATTGCTATCACCTTTTTTTAGCCATCGAACTCGAGACTTCTAATGCCAATAGATCTCTCCAGCCTCCCACTGGCGACTAAGCTCCGTTTCAAGGTCCCTAACCCTATCCCAATCAATAGGAATCGAGTGCTTTATCTGCTCAATCTTCGTCTGGAGAGAATTGATATTTCGCAGGGAGTTGGTCATTCCAGCCCTACTCCAATCATACAAAAGATGACGGAGTCGTTTTAACCGCGCCCATAATCTATACATGGGCGATCCATGGATAGACTCGTTCCATACAAACACAACCTTTGTCGCGTGACAGGTTTATCGGATAAGAGAAGAGCTCTATGATTCGACCACTGATCTGTGTGATGCTTTACCAAGAACTCAAGGAAATACTCCATCCAGGACTGAGAACATAAGGCCCGATCAAGTCTCTCCCGAACATAGGCATGTCCCATCCGCTTCTTGGTCCAAGTGAAATGATCCCCCTTGAAACCTACGTCATTAGTCCCAGGTCACTCACAAAGTCCCTAAGTGGAGCGGAGCTGGCCGGGTTCCAAGGATTCCCACCATCTTTCTCATTTCCTGAAAGAATGGAATCCTCATCAACAAAAAAAAAAATATCTGGACCTCTCTCTCTCTTGCTTTCGTTCTCTCTCCTCACCTCTCACTCTAACCTTAATTGCTCCAAAAAAACTCTGGTTGCCTTCTCCTCTCCCCACAGCAGCAATGCCCTCGCCTTCGACACCGTTGTTCGTCGTTGCTCGTGGCCTACATCTGCTCCCCACAATGATGACACTCTTCGGTAGACTCTTCCTCTCACTACGGTGCGGAGAAGACGAAGATGAATCTTCGGATCTATTTGGTGCGGAGAGGACAACATTCCCTTCCTCTCTCCAACACAGCGACACCATTGACGCCACTTTTTCTCACTGTGCTCGTCGCACACCACTCTCCGTTGGCTCGTCGTCGAACTTCATCCTTGCTAGACGAGGTCATAGTCTACCCTCGCCGTCCTCTTTCGCCATTTTGAAAACTGACATATGAGTTTCTATTGAAGTGGTACTATTTTTCATAGTGGTACTTGTTTTATTCAACAATGGTACTATTTTTCACTGTTTTTTAGTGTTGTTGGTACATCTTTAGTGCAGTGGTCATATTATTGGGATAGTAGTGATGTTATCAGTGTAATGGTGTCGATATTTTGGGTTTAATGATATTGTTTTCTGATCTAGTTATAGTGTTATCGGTGTAGCGGTACATGTAGTGGTAAATGGTAATGTTGTCGTTATAGTGGTAATGTAACCGGTGTAGTTGTCATGTTATCAGTGTTATGGTAATGTTGTCAATGCAGTGGTACTGATATGGTGGGTGTACTTATATTATTTGCTTATCTAATGATAATGTTTTCAGTGTAACCTCGATGTTACTGTAGGTGTATTGATATGGTTTTATAACCTAGTGGTAATGTTATCGTTATAGTAATAATGTTTTTAATTAAAAAGTATAACTAATATGAATTTTTAATTTCAATTAATATAATTTTTTAATTTTCAAAATGTAATTGAAAATGTGTAACCATTAATTTGCCAACCCTTTAAAAAGGTTGACACCATATCTCATCCCTCTTCATAAGTCTTTGTTGCAAGTTGCAACCATTGCCATCCATACATAACTATTGGAGCAAATAGAGGAAACATTATCATTAATTTTCTAACAGTAATGGCCCCTCGCAGGTCGCTTTATAATTAACTATACTTATGATCAATCAATCCAACAACTTCTGCCGTATACGCAGATATTATTAATTTATGTTTTCCAGAACTATGCACACATTTTTTTTTTATTGCACAACAACAAGGCCAACCGCATGCCACAGCAGACAAAGAACAAAGGCCTTCAAATTTCACTATACATACCATAATCCACAGGATCACGTATATATAGAACCACACATCATAATGATTCTTCAGCAATATAACATTACGTTACCACAAATTAAAGTAGTAATAAGGGTACACGGCAAATAACCCTTTAATTTGGAGTCGATCGGATCACTTGTTGGCATGGTGATCATCGATATCTTTGCTGAGATGAACCAGAAGGTGCAGAACGGAGATTGGCTCAGGGGTTTCCTCGCTCAGCTTCTCATACTCCACAGTCCAGTGGATGATGCTGGTGGTGTCCTCCGACTGTGGAGTTGCCTTAACCACCAGCTTCAGCTCCTTGTATTCCTTCAGAACATCGCCTTCGATCACCTTGAACGTGGTCGAAAAATTCACGTCATCGATTTCTTCTATGATTTCCTTGGCTAGCTTCTGCTCCCCCTCTGGATGAACATACGAAAATCTCATGTTTACATTAACATATACATCCAAATTGATGTGTATATATACATGAGCAACTTACGTACCATGGATATAGTCCCACTCAATGATGGTGCCCTTTTGGCCCAAATCGCCTTGGTGGACAGCGCAGTTGTTGACCTTACCAGGAGCCATGTTGGAGACGTGGTGAGGCCTAGCACTGAAGATTTCGTGGTGTTGACTCGCTGGGAGTCTGATTGCAAAACATGCCTCCAGCTTCCCGCTTAGAAGGCTCATTGCTTTTTTGCCCTTTTCCTTGTTAGCTTTAGTGTTGATTGGTGGTAGTGGTGAGGAAAGAAGTGCAGAATCAAGGTCTGTTTAAATATAAGCGGCCACACTTCTGGGGAGAAAGGAGGGCTTAGCAAATCGTGAAGCACGAGCTGACAGCATGATCAATAGTACTCTTTATGATTTTTAAAATAACAGTCGTGAAACACGGGTGGAGAAGGATTGATGGCAATGACCGGGGAGGGACGCAGTCTGCCAACTTTAATACTCAAGGGTTGGGTGCATAAGCACTTATGAATAATGATATTTGACCCCTTAATTTTAAGTGTGGTTAGATCTCAAGGGTGATAGGCCTGGAAGGAAGCGATGAAAGTTAAGAGACTTTGTATAAATAGTGATGTGACACGACAGTTTATGCATGGTTATATTCTTATTCACGATAAGGTTGTGCAATAGATCCGCTCCCACTAACCATTGAATGGCATGGTAATAGGAACTCCAGTAACATAACTGTTTCGTTGGTAAGTTGTCACATCACAATATCTCAATCTTACCAGATTTCAACTACTCCCTTGGTCGGACATGATCAATATCCTATACATCTTTTGATTCATTGTCCAGGTTAGGTATGTGCAATAATAGAAGGAGAAAGTTGCAATCTTCTTTCTTTTTTTTTTTTTCCATCATTGCTAATATTACCTACTGTCATGACGGTTTTCTGTGGATCGGAAAAATAGGAGAATTCGACAATCCAACAAATGAAAGCGCACACACACGACATACGATTTACGTGGTTCACTAACACAATGTGTGTTAGTGATTCACGGACAGGAGAGAGCCAGTTTCACTATACTTGAGGAGATACAGATTACAGAGGAGTATGAGAAGTATTTATAGTACTTCTCCTAGGTCTAGCCCTAATCCAATCTAGTAAAGGAAAATCGGTTACCACTAGGCCCAGAACCCGGACCCAAATAACAATGAGTCCATACACCGTGGGTTGGGGGCGTTGTCCTTGGTGGGTCTGGCTGACCGGGCATCGAGATGCTGATAGTCCGATTCAAGTCACATCAGCAAATCTCCACCTTCACTTGAATCCTCTTCCTCTGAAATCTCTTATGTACTCTGATCCTTCTCCCCCTCTTGTCATCAATGTCCCGTAGGGCGGATTCACCCACTCAATACATTCAGTAAATCCAAGAAGTGTTGGAACTTGCCATGTGGAACCGACTTCGTGAACATGTCAGCAGGATTATCCGCGGTGCCAACCTTCTTCACCTTAATTCTCTTCTTTGTCCTCAAGAAATGATAACTCACATCGATGTGCTTAGTCCTCTCATGATGGACTTAATCCTTGGCCAAGCATATTGCACTCAAGCTGTCACAATACACCACTGCCTGATCATAATGTAGACCCAGATCACCAACCAGTCCCTTCAACCATATTCCCTCCTTAGCAGCTTTTGTCAATGCCATATACTCTGCCTCAATAATAGACAATGTCACTGCCAACTGTAGAGTTGCCTTCCAGATCCCTACAGAACTCCCATGACTGAATACATAACCGCTCATCGATCTCATCGTGTCAACATCTCCACCATAGTCAGAATCTGAATAACCAGCCACTAAGCACTCTATATCACTTCAGAAGTTAATCCCCACATAAGATGTACCCTTAAGGTACCGGAAGATCCTCTCCACAACCTGTCAATGCTCCTTCCCTGGTTGTATCATGAACCTACTGACAACACAAACAACATGTGCAAGATCATCCTAGTGCAGACCATAGCGTACATCAAACTACCAATTGCACTAGCATATAGGACTCTCGACATGTACTCCTTCTCAACCTCTGACTACGATGCATAAACTGAGGATAGATGAACATTAGAAGCACTAGGAGTATTCAAGGGCTTTGCTGAAGACATGCCAAACCTGGACAGTATCTTCTGGATGTAGCTCTTCTGTGACAAGAAAAGCTTCTTCTTCTCTCTATCCCTGTAAATCTCCATACCCAAAATCTTCTTAGCAGCTCCCAAATCCTTCATCTAAAACTCAACACTGAGTATCCCCTTTAAGCTTTAGATATCAGACTTAGACCTCGCCGCTATGAGCATATCATCCACATATAGAACCAGATATATCATCGAACCATCTGCTGCCTTGTTGTGATATACACAACAATCATTGGGACTTCTGTTGTAGCCAGCTCAAGCATGTAGCTGTCAAATCTCATGTACCACTCCGTCGGAGATTGCTTAACTCTATACAAGGACTTCTTCAGCTTACAACATAGTCTTCTTTTCCTGGAACGTGGAATCCTTCTTGCTAAGTCATGTAAATTCCTCCTCCAACTCTCCATGTAAGAAAGTTATCTTCAGGTCTAGCTGCTCAAGCTCCAAGTCATAATGTGTCACTATTGCTAGTAGCATCCTAATCAAAGTATGTCTGATCACTGGTGAGAAAATATCATTGTAGTCAACTTCTTCCCTCTGCGAGAAGCCTCTTGCAACTACCCGGGATTTAAGTTTCATTTCCTCTTCAGAAGTGATTCCTTCTTTCTTCTTGTTGATCCACTTGTTTGTAACAATCTTCCTTCCCTGTGGACGTTTGACCAACTCCCAAGTCTGATTCCTGTCGTGGGATTCCATCTCGTCCCCCATTGCAGCAAGCCATTGAGCGGCTTCACCACATAAAATTGCTTCTCTGTAGGACTACGGTTCACCCGCATCCACCTCTTCAGCAACCATAAAAGCATACACCACCACGTCCTCGAAGCCATACCTCTATAGAGGTACTCCTACAGTAGCTCTCTTTGGTCTATCAGAAGTTATAGACTGTTGAGCTCCTGCACTGGACTTTGAAGCTTCTGGCTCTGCAGAAACATCCTCATGTTGATTTTCTCCACCTTGGTGCTAAAACTCACTCCCTTTGAGAGTTTGCAGCTGACTCGCTTAACGCAACTGCTAACAATTGACAAGTGTAACCAATGAAAGGGACTGCAGTATAGAGGCATAAAGAATAAATATATAATCCACGGGTCTCTAGAGTTACTATTACTCAGCTTCAGTTCATTATCTAGCAAACTATATTAAGAGAGAAGAACTATAACTACTCTAGCAAATTATAGTTAAAGTTAATCTAATCACATATTGGGAACTCACTTAGGTATGATTCTCCCTAGCCACTATTCAGATTAATGGTTGATGACCTCTAACTTGTTTTACTTGCATTCACAATGCGGAGAATCCTTGACTATACCTTGAATCTCGAATAAAGAAATTAAGGCCCTCTTGAGTCGATTTCCTAGATGGACATATCCTTCTCTAGAACAACCGATTAAGGCGTTCTGAACTAGATTCCCTCTGTCTAATAAGGTTCTCAATCGAAACAAAGCAGTGAATTGACCCTCGACTAAAGAAATTGATCCAATACTATCAATATATGGTGCTCTATTGACATAATCATGTATTCTCTCTCATAAGATCAAAGCAGAATCAATTATCTCTACTAAAGCATAATTGAATCATGAAAACTTGCATAGATTGAATATGAACACAGGATTATCAAATAGGAGTACTCATACAATCATCCAATCAAACAAACATAACTAGGGTTCCTCATAACCTAAGTGAAGGGAAGTTACTCTATAGAGAAGAGAGAGAATGCAGAAATCTGATCTAGATCTTCAATCTCCATCTCCAAGCATGATTCACGAGCTCCAATGGTGAAGAAATCATCCAAGATAGCTCCAAGAATGATCCCAATGTGCTCTCTCTCTAGGGTTCGTCCCTTGGGTGTTTGGGATCCAAAACCCATCTCTCCCTCTCCAAAAATGGCAAAACAACCTTTATACCTGCTAAAATTCGCACCTCTGAATTGAAAGGCCGTGCAAATTGAGGTTTTTGTTGTGAAAACTCCCTGAAAAACTCGCACGGCCGAGCACGATATTGCATGATTGTGCACATTTTCCAACATGCACTTCTAAGCTCCATTTGAACTCGTTTGACCTCCAATTCAGGTGTCGTTTAATTCCACATGCTCGTAGTCTTTTCTTCTTTCTTTTAATGACAAGCTTACATGATTATTTGTCAATAAAATGATGTAGAAATTCATTATTCTTTGGTTCATGCCCAAGTTTCTTCTCCCGAGTTGCCAATTGATCTCTGATTGACTTGAAACTTGCACCAATGCCTTCACTTTACATGCTAGGACCTGAAATGTGACAAAGGAATACAACCTAGCGTAAAATAGGCCAAGGAACGATCAATTTCCAAGTTAGAAAATCAATAAATGAAGGGGAAAACATGTGAAAATATCGAGTCATCAAATCCCGCCACACTTAACCGTTTTCTTGTACCCAAGCAAACCAAGTCAGATACAAGGAAGCTTAAAATGTTTTGAACATGGAAACTTTGGGGGCATATCATATATGCACAAAACACATGAATCATAATGGCTTTTAGACATCAACACACGAATAACAGCAACAACAACCTTGACATCCACCACAGATGACATTCGAGGGCATCAAAACTGGATAGAGGAAGAATCTCCCTTCTCTTCACCGACCAACATAGACTCGACTCAACCACTCATTCAAAACAGTCACCTCATGCAAAAAATTCAAGACATCATAATCAAGACCGAGCAATCTAGGTCCTCATTGGGTATATAATATGAAAAATGAATCACTCACTCTCGACCAGTGGGGTCATAACAAAATTCGATGCAAAATGTGTCCATACTCATACTCTCAATACCTAACTTCTCTTCACCATGACGGCACCCTCTAAATGATAGAGTTCACATATAGGGTGTCACCACTAACTAGTCAGGAAGTCTTAGACACGGGTTCAGATGATTGGCTAGGGTCTTGGACATGTGGAAAATTCCTTTTAGGTGGTGAAAAAATTCATAATACAAGGTTCCACAGGTCCAAAACCAAACACAACGACATTCATTCGACCCAATTACTTTCTTTCTCCTATTCTGCATTAATCAAGTTCTTTAGAGCCCAAGAGTGAAGGAGGTCACAACATGTTAGTATTTTCAAGCCAAGCTGCTAAGAAACACTATTTAATGAGCATGATTAAGATTTGTTTTCGTGGTGGCTCCCTTTTGCTTTCATTCGT